ACAGGGTATGGATAATCAGTGTACTTTGACAGTCATCAGAGTCTCATTTTGGTTCACTCTTCAAAGCTTCAGATAGCAAAGGGCCCATTCCTTTGGCCCAATTTTGGACCAAGGAAATAAAGGAAAAATATTTGGATTTTCTTATGCAAAGTCCAAACACAGAAATTTTAGCAAAAGCCTTGTGAAAATTCCAAGAACAGAAGTTACAGCCCTGCAACTGTGCAGTCCAGGGCCCGAACAACTCTCCAGCTCCTGAAGCAGGAGTGTACATATAGGACACCACCTTGTCCTCCCACCCTCCACTGCCACCCTCACCGAGCAGTCTCCTCCCCTTGCCCACTCCCTGCCTCTCCTAACCCGGCCACACCTCCCAGAAACCTACCATTTCCCCCCCACCCACCCTTGCTGTGTTCCCTCCTGCCTGTTTCCCACCTACCTTCCTGCCACTGTTCTCCAAAGAGCCCCATCAGCCATATAAACAGTTCTGTAGAGCTGGCCAGGCTCTCCACAGAACCAAACCTTTCAGGAGTGAGTGTCCAGAGGCCAACCATCTGGGCAGAGCCTGCCGGCTGCTTTTTAAGGCCAATGATGCTTTTCACAGAGCCAGCCTGCCCACCCACCAGTTAGCGCTGAGAGAAACCTCAGGGTAAGCAGGACTCTCCAGTGCACCCACAGCTGTGCCACTGAGTTGCACCTCTGGAGAACCCTTTCAGATACATTCTCCCACTGTGAGAAATGCCAAGCCAGCCCTGCAGGACTTACCTGTCCAGGTGTCTCACACACACAAGCCAATTGATCTGAGAAAAGGGGAAAACAGCAATTGCACAAGAAAGCAACAATCTCTCTTTCTCACAAACTCAAATATAGAATATTCTAGCTAAAACTGATGGAGTCAATTTAACTTAGTACATTTTAACCTATTGTGGTAGCATCTTGGGTTTCAGAGCATATATATATTTCCTTTATTTACTTGTAGAGAAGATGGTCTGAGAGACAGAGCATCTTAACCTACTGATCAGATGTTGTTAGGGGGAAAAGAATGCAAGCAGTTTTTTATGAATCTGAGTTTAATAAAAGAAGCACTTATGTTTCTGTTTTAGCCTACTCATGATGTCAACTTACCAGATGCTCTAGAGGGCACTATTGAGCTATATCAGAAGTAGGATTTTGTCATCCTTCCCAAGTAACTTCTAAGGTGATCTAAAATTTACCACAGGGGTACTTGTCATTAGTAAAGATAATCAAAGATCTACACAGCTGAATGAGAATTTGAATCCAAGAGCCTGATGCCCAAGGCTTGACAAATCTAGCAAGGAAAGATGACAGGCAGGCAGGCAGGCAGACAGAATTTCTTAGAACATTTCTGGCTTAAAAAAACCCCTGCTCCTTCAACTAAGATGAAATCATAATCATATTGGAAATGTGCCGTGCAACATCTTCCTTCCTGTGATCTCACGCTTGGTCTGTTTGTGAGGTGGGTCCCACCCTTTTGCCACGGTACTTCTAGATGCATTTTGCTCCTGGAGAATCAGAAGACAGCAGAGGCCAGAATTTTATCAATTACATACTAGCTCTTCCCTTCCTGTTGTTATCATTAAGTTGAGTTTATTTGACATCATTCTCGGGAAAAAGACCGAAAGCATCTTATAAGAGAGATTAAAGCATACACCAATTTAAAAACACCCCAAAATGATTAGCAATAACATTCCCTATCAGGATCCTGCTAAATTGTCCATGTTTGTCACCCCTAGGATTCAGTATTGCCATGAACAGTCTTTGGGAATAATGTAATTGCAGTACAAATGAGATGCTATTTCATATATGCTAGTATATCCAGAAATATTCTGACAGTTAAAATATTACCTCAAATTTCTAACATGGGGGATTTATTTTCTGTATTTTAACATATTTTACAGTGCTGCAAAATTTAGAGAGTATTTATGAAAATAGCACCAAAAATGATCCTTAATAATTCTTATTGAAGGAAGATTCTAATTCGCAAATGACTAAGATATGACTGGCAATGCATGGAAAACAGATTTATAAAGTTTGTACATTCTGGCAGGTCTGTACATTTAAAAACAAAACAATACTTCAGCCTACTTTGGTCTTCAAGGGGAAATATTTGTGGAGTGGCATGCATATCTCTGTGTTCGTGTTATCAGTGTATATAAATAGATCATGCCTACCTCTCACAAATTCCAGAGGATTCAGCATGTTGCCAGCATGTTGCCTCTAACTGTAATTTATGCAATATTTACATCTATAGGACAGAAGGTGAAGTATGCGTGTGATACAGTGTGGTGAATGTGATCACGTGAAAAGATAGCAGTATATTGTTAAACTGTGTAATTAGAAAAGGGCAGGATAGGCAGCTGGGTGATTTTATGCAGCACCAGCAGTGGAGAGAGACCAGAGCACTCCAACAGTTCCGCAGACCAGCGCTAGCTGTTTGGTGAGCAAAGCTGGCTCACCCGCTGTGGTGCACCGGGGACAGTGCGCAAGGGTGAACTGGAAAGCTAACAATCTTACACAGCCAAACCTCTCTGCATTAGCATTGTAGACTTCCTGGCTAATTGTACCAACGCTATACAAAGCAAACAAATGAATAAACAAATTAACTGTTGCCTATTCTTAATCATATTCAAAGAAGATTATGTTTCTGCTACGGGTTTCTGCTGAGTGTGTGAAAGTTGAAAGCTAGGTGCAAGCTAGTATAACATTTATAATGAACAAAGATCAAGTTATGTGCTCCTCTTGGTGGTGTTGTCAACAGAAAGAGCAGAACGAATTTTCATGGTACAGCATCCTCACCACTCCCAGAGAATTAAAGCAGCTGCTGCCACCACCTTCCACCAACTGCACTCTCCCCCAGTATCTATTACCCAGAGGGAAAAGGCCAGCAAACACTCAGAGAATACCCCTGACTCCACTCTCTGGGTGGGTCGATGGTTGGAAGCCATCTTTCTGGGTGGAGTGACAGCAAGGGGTGGCTGATTTCTCAGCAGCTCTCCTGTAAGCATGCTGGTTCGGATTGGGCCTCACAATCACACTACCTGAACAGTGTGACGAGGTGATTCCTTGCAGTTGCTTCCCTTGCTCACACATCAACTTTCCCCACCCGAGAAGGGAGTGCAGGTAAGCAAGGCTCTGAGGCTGCAATGAGGGCCCTTTGCCTCTGCTAGCTCACCTTATTCTCCCCACACCTCACCAGGCCTTGCATCCCTCCCTCAGAAAGAGTTCAGGCCAGCATGCGAAGGCTTCTGCTCTCTGACTGTGTCTCCCTTTATGCCTCTAGGGCTGGCACTTTGGTTAGGGCTGGGGGAGCACTGCCCAGAGTATAGCGGACCACCAGCCAGGGCCTTATCCACTATGCGTGCGCGACTGTGACGGAAAGAGAGAGCTTGCGAGCAGCACGAGGCGAGAAAGTCCCCGCTCGCTCGCTCGCTCTTTCCCGCCAAGGCAGCTCAGCAGTGGGACTAGGCTCGCCAGCTTCAATTCCTCCCCCTGCACCATCCCGAGAGGGCGCACGCAGAGGAGCGCGCGGCGGCTGCGCTTTCGCGGCAAGAGTGAAGCGACAGCCGCGCCGGCCGCTCACCCGCGCGCTCTGTCGCCGCAGGCGGGCCAAGCCCAGCTTCCGGGCATGCTGTCCGCGCTCCTGCAAACTCCCTGGACGGGAGCGTGGAACGCGCAGCAAGGCGCCCCGGGAAACGGGGAGGCAGGCGCGAGGTGGCAGCAGGGAGCCCAGAAATAGGGTTAGCAGGGCCACAAGGCGAGCACCGCGCTAAGAGGGCGCAGGGCTTGGCGGGCGCGGTCTGTGGCAGTGGAACGGAAAGGCGGGGAGGGAGTGGCGGCGAGGACAGCAGAGAGGAGGAGACGGTTGTCCGAGGACTGGTGAGGGCGCTGCTGGGTATCGAAAAGATCCGGGACTGAGGTCTGCAGAACGACCAATACACAAACTTAAAACCGCACGCCCTTGCGTAGTATATTTTCCATGGGCTTTAAGGTGTCTTTCGGTGTACGTGTGCCTTCAAAGCAGCCGGTCGCCTAAGCGCCGCCCTATCTATGCTAAGAAATGGACGGATAGGGGACAGGAGGGCGCTGGATTGCAGGAAAGAACTCAGGCAGAAAGTTTTTTTGGGAGGGCGGAAGAAGTAAAGCGTACGTAGGAAAGGCTGGAGCCTCCTATATCAAAGGAGCTCCATATGCATAGCAGCTTTCATTCTGAGCTGTGCAAATTGCCCGTGGCACTGCTTGGTGGAGAATCTATCCGGGAAAGGAGTTCGGCAGCATGGAGCGTCCCTATAAATCGCAGAGTAATAGCTGCCATGGATAAGGATCCCCACGGCCCTCCCCGCCCTTTGAGCAGGCTCCATTAGACGGCCGGGGCGCTCGCCCTCCGCACTCCCGGACTCCCGCGCGCGGAGTGGCCCGGCGGCCCGGTGGAGGGCCGCTCTTGCTTTCGCCTCTGAAGCAGATCGGCGGGGAGTGGGAGAGGGAGGAGGCGCCAGCGCCTGCCGCCTCAGCCTCGCCCTCCCGCCTTTTTCCAGCCAGCCCCGCTCGCTCGCTCCCGCCTCGCTCGCTCCCTCCTTCCTCTCCGTCGTGCTGACGCGCCGCTCGCCTCCTATTAATCATCCCTCCGAGCCGGTGCGCCGCGATTAACGCCAGTCGGAGTCGAGGCGGCGAGCGTCTCCGGCTTTCTCCTCGGTGGCTCCGCTTCCTCCTCCTCCTCCTCCTCCTCTTCTTCTTCGAGTTCTTCCCGCGCCGCTCGCCGGTCCGCCCGCTGCCAGAGGAGGAGAGCGCGCGGCGGGCCAGGAGGAGAATGGCGACCCGCGGAGCTGCCCGGGGGCTCGCGCCGCGTTGAGCCCGGGCGGACGGGTCAGAGGATGGCCCCTGCGCCGGGCTCGTGGGCGCTGGAGGCATGGACTCGGCGGCGGGTGGCAGGAACTCCTCCGGCTCCACCGGCCCCAACGGCACGGTGAGCGGCGCCGGCGGCGCTGGCGGCGCCGGCGGCGGCGAGTCGCAGGGCGGCAGCGCCATCCTCATCTCCTTCATCTACTCCGTGGTGTGCCTGGTGGGGCTGTGTGGCAACTCCATGGTCATCTACGTGATCCTGCGCTACGCCAAGATGAAGACGGCCACCAACATCTACATCCTCAACTTGGCCATCGCGGACGAGCTGCTGATGCTGAGCGTGCCCTTCCTGGTCACCTCCACGCTGCTGCACCACTGGCCCTTCGGCTCCCTGCTGTGCCGCCTGGTGCTGAGCGTGGACGCGGTCAACATGTTCACCAGCATCTACTGCCTGACCGTGCTCAGCGTGGACCGCTACATCGCGGTGGTGCACCCCATCAAGGCGTCGCGCTACCGCCGGCCCACAGTGGCCAAGATGGTCAACCTGGCCGTCTGGGGGCTGGCCATCCTCATCATCCTGCCCATCATCATCTTCTCCAAGGCCGAGAGCAACACGGACGGCACGGTGGCCTGCAACATGATGATGCCCGAGCCCAAGCAGAAGTGGCTGGTGGTCTTCGTGGTCTACACCTTCCTCATGGGCTTCCTGCTGCCCGTGGTGGCCATCAGCCTCTGCTACATCCTCATCATCGCCAAGATGCGCATGGTGGCGCTCAAGGCCGGCTGGCAGCAGCGCAAGCGCTCCGAGAGGAAGATCACGCTCATGGTCATGATGGTGGTCATGGTCTTCGTCATCTGCTGGATGCCCTTCTACATCGTGCAGCTGGTCAACCTCTTCGTGGAGCCCGAAGACGCCACCATCAGCCAGCTCTCGGTCATCCTGGGCTACGCCAACAGCTGCGCCAACCCCATCCTCTACGGCTTCCTCTCGGACAACTTCAAGCGCTCCTTCCAGAGGCTGCTGTGCCTCAGCTGGATGGACAACGCCGCCGAGGAGCCCATCGACTACTACGCCACCGCCCTCAAGAGCAGGGCCTACAGCGTGGAGGACTTTCCGCCAGACAACTTCGGCGAGTCGGGCAGCATGTACAGGAACGGGACGTGCACCTCCAGGATTACAACCCTCTGAGGACGGGCGGGCGCCCCCGGATCGCGGGCGGGAGGGCGCGGACCACGGGGAGCGGGAGAACGAGGCGAGCGGCGCGGGGCGCGGGCGAGGCGAGTCCCCGCTCCGGCTCCGGCCCCCGCTCGCCGCGCGCCCTTCTGCCCCCGCGCCGGCCCGGCCCGCGGGATCCCCCGCACCTCTTCGCGCTCCTTGCCGGTGCCTGGAGCGGCAGCCCGGTCGCGGTGCCGCGGCTGCCCCCGCCCGGGAAGCCGTGGGGCTCCCAGCGGGAGCTGCCGTGCGGCCCCGGGGGCGCGGGGACGGTCCGCGGGGCCTCCCACGCGCTCCGGGGTTTTGCCGTTTGTTTGTTTGTCCGTTTGTTTGTTTCCCCTCCTGAGTTGCTCCTCTACTCGCTGACGGCATCTCAAGCTGAAGCCGGTCCGGTTCAAGCCTCCCGCCCCCAAGAAAGTGACTTGAGCGCGGCTGGGCGCTTAGCTCTTTGCATCGTGAAAGGAACCTCGCTGTCTCTGGACTTAGGTGGTCTTTGGTTAAGCAGTGTTTGTTTTCTGTAAAGGAGGGAGGTCGGGGCTTAAGCCACAGCCCTCTAATTTAGCCCTCTAATTACTATGTGTATAGCTTCCCAGTTTGGAGGTTGAAAAGCACTACTCTTGCGGTGCACTTTTGTTACCTTGCATTGGCCGACCGGCAGCATTTAAAACAAACAGGCTTCACCTCAAATTAAATCCTGGCTTCAAGTAGTTCCAGGTCTCACTCAGACCTGGAAATTCCCAGGGCAGCACAAATCCTGAATCCAGCTTGAAGCAGACCCAACAAAATTGCATATTGCATCACTGTAACATCTTTTTCCCACCCACCTTCCCCAATACAAATTTCTGTTTGGCATTCAGCAGCACTCAAGGGGAAATGGCAATCCATTTGGAAAGGGAAAGAAACCCGTCTGGTAGAAAGCAAGGCGATTATTTCATTATCTTGCAGCAACAGCAGGCTCCTGATAAGAGCGAGATAAATAGCTCCCCCTTTCAGCCACCCCAACCTTCCCGGGTGACTGTCAAGAGCTGGGCACTAGGCTCCCGGTGATGTTTGATCTGGGAAACATTTCGCTGTGTTGGTACATATAATAAAGATGTGCAAATAAAGCAGGTTAAAGAACTGCAGGGCTATTGTCCTGGGCTGTGTGATATTTGGCTTGAATGATAAGAAAGGAGAGAAATGTGAGGAGTAAGGAGAAGGTAATTGGTGAGTTAGCCCAACAATGAAGACAGGAAGAATTGTCACAAAGTCTTTTCTAAGGTTCCCAAATTACTTTGATTGCAGTTTATATCATACTGGATTCTGGTAGTTGCCTCTGAAAACTCCAGCTGGCTTTAGGAGAATTATACCTTACTAAGTGGTTTGGGGAATGCTGCCAAGAACACACTTCTAACATTTTAATACAATAGTAGTTCAGGGTAACCCAATAACATGCAAGAACATAACATAAAATGCCCTTGGCAGATCACTGTGAGGGTTCATCTCATCCAGCATTTTGTTTCCAAGTGTGCAACATGCAGGGATGGCCTGACTTAATAAACTGTAGCTTATTACACCCATGTGGTTCCAGCATTCAGCAGTCAAGAAGCACACCATCCATAAACTTTGGACACTTCTAACCAAGTACAGCCACTATGAGAAATTAATCCTTGTTTCCCAGTGCAATCAAAATGGATAGAACTGCAATGGAGGCTTCATCTGGTTGGCCAACATGGTAAAGTCCTGCCACATATTTCCTACTTCAGTAGGGACTAAGGAGGAGCTGAAGAACAAGAGACTTGCCAAATCGGTCAAGGCAAATGGCCCCTTCTGACCAAATAAATGTATTGTCTCTGAGCAAATCCTATGAAAACTCAACTGTTCATTTCCCAGTAACAGAAATTTGTGAAAACTCTTCATGTTTGCATCAGCAACCCTATTGTAAATTTACAATAAATTTATTGTAAATTTGCAATACACGTCACGTTTTACTCTGTGTTTGATTTCTTGGAATCCTGTTTTAAAATGTGAAACAGATTAAATTGGTGGTTCTTTTTTCTTACTTTTTACTTAATATATCATTGTTTCTGTTCCATTAAAAACTATCCTCTTTCAAATAATTCTTTTGAAACAGTTTTTAGCATGTATCACTGCATAGGGTTATTCAAGGCTGAATAACAGCAAAGGTAGAATAATAATCCACAGGTTTTGTTCATTGCACTTCCTTGATAGGGCAGCAGGGGGTGAAGTTTATAGTTTTGTGAAGGAAATGTTTATGGTACTTACATTTTGTTATCTGTGTTCAAAAACTGTTATTCCTGTAGATATTTGGTGAATCAACATTGTATTGTTTTATCAAAGGCAATGGCTAAAGTGCAAATTTCAAATTATCTTCTGCCTTTTGTTTTTAATTAATTGTACAGAAAGGAAATGCAAGAGGAAAGGCACTATACTCAATTACATACTTCAAATTTGTTCCACAAAATATAATTTTCAGATGATCAGGAGCATTAAAAAGAGCTAGGATGAAAACTCAAGATACTAAAGTTGTTTGAAATTATGTTAAACAGATTCTGGAAAAAGTGGCTTGAAGACTACAACCATAATTCTCTGGTAGCCCCTTAAAGAGCAGCATTTTCTTTCATACCACAATGCTATAAAATTATATGTTTTGAGTATAAAGCAAAATGAATAGGAGGTAATGTAGTTTGACAAATGATGCTTATTCAGTTTTTCTATTGCTTTTACGATATATGTTTGCTTACAAAAGTTGAGGTAAAATCTTTACTGGAGTATAATAATATGTCAGCTTATTGCATTTATTTGTACAGTGCCATCAACTTATATGGCACTTTACAAATTGTGTGTTTGTGTAGCAAAAAATGGAAAGGCCTCATGTAGCTTAACTTTGGCTGGATAATGTCCTTAACACTGCAGTCCTATATGATATATACATACTTACTTAGCAATTAGTCCTGTTGAACTAATTCAGTGGTGCTTACTTGTGAGTAGATATGCACAGGATTGCAAGGTAAGCATTCTTAAGTCCCACTGGCTTCAGTAAGAGGGATCTGTAGCCTCCTCCTAGGCATTTTTACTTGGAACTAAGCCCCATATTGTTCAGAACTGCTCCTCCCATCCAAGTGTCGTAGGACTGTATTTCTCTTTCTTTTAAGGTTTTTCTGCTTGGCTAAATTTATTTGGTCAAAGAGGGAGATCATAAAGGGGAGGCAGGAAAAACTAAGGAGAGGTGAAGGGAACAGTGTGTACTTGGCTTTGGTTCACTCTGGTATGTCAAATTAGGTGGAACATCATTTGAACAAACCCCCAATATGCCATTCCATATAACTATCCCAGCAAATGGGTAATAATAATAAAGCTACACCAAAGCTGGGAATCATGTCAGTTGATAACCTGTGGAGCTAAAATGAAAAGCTTCCACTTTGTTAGAGACAGAATTGATCCTTTTATTATTACCACCTTGGAAGTTATTAAATCATGCTTTTAGCTATTTGTTATTTCACTGCTTTGTGGGTTATTAATTTACATTTTTCTATTTGTCTGTTTCTCATTGCATCTTGCCTCTCTCCACAGCTTAAAAGAACAGCTCCCCTTTCAATGTCTTTTCTGATATATAGCTGAAATAAAGAGAATAATCAAATTGTTCAAAACAGACAGAAACCCCCTTGTGACAGTTTTTAATTAAGTTTTTTTACATTGTTAGAATGGCATTTCAAATCTGGATCCCGGTTTCCTTAAGAGCGTTTCTACTGGGTGCTCTTATGCTGTCATTTTCCCTCAGCAATACTGTAATTCAGTGTCAGCTTAATAAACAGACATATTAAACAGTACTCTGCAATCCACTTTTGATTGTTTCTGTGCAGTTCCTTGGCTGGTTTGATCTTTAGAACACTGAGAAAGCATATAATCGCAATGCAACTGAGCTTTGATTGTTTGTTCTTTTGCCATTGGACAATGACAGTTTGACAAGTGGGTGTTCTGCACTTCATAGTAAACAAAAACAATATTCATATAAGTTAATATGAGCTGTCAAAACTTTGAGTGAGAGTGGGAGATCATTGGGGTAAGGAATAACACAGAGACTGAATCAGCAATCAAAGTGAAAGATGGCATTGATGTCCACAGTGATTCTCTAGGGACCAAGAGGGAGACATTATTCTAGCCCTGCACCTCTTAGGGTGACAGCCCAATATGCCTTTCAGTCAACAATCTGAGTGAGAACCAGTACAATTTAATATTGAAAGCACTTGTAACAAATGGTGGGACTGAGCTCCCTTTGAGGAGGCTCCACAGCAGGAAAGTTGATAGAAGTACCTGTTCAATTTCACAAAGGATGGCACTCTTCCCTTGAGAGAAGCCACCTTTTAAAATGTTATTGCAGGAAGGCCTTCATAGCTCCTTCTGCAAGGTGTTTTAAGCTTGCTTGAGGAACTGATGCTTTCAAGGTGCATTTATAGGCATTATCAGAATAATCATACAGATTTACTGCTCAAGTGCCAGCTTAGCACTCTAAACTAGCTGAACACTTTTCAAATTGATGCAGTACTGCTTATCCAAAAGTGTGATGCTATTATAATTCAACATGTTTTAATACAAATTTTAACTATAGAAAGGACAATGCCATTATTTGAAGATGAAAAAATAGCTATGGTTGTCACCATGTATATATGTTTTAGTGAAAACTCCAAATGCTGCATCCCTTTCATTCAGTGCAAAAGTAGTTCACACCCCAATAAATGGTAAATGATTTTAGTGATATGAACAAAGTATTGAATTAGTTGCAAACCCTAAATGTGCCAGTAAAATGATTGCTTCACTTATAGCTTACCAGCTGCTGCACCAGCACATCATAGATCATTATGATACCATCTGGTGCAAAAATGCCAGAATGAGACAATTAGTTTGGGATTTGGGATAGGAGTTGTTCTAGAACTATATTGTAGCATTTTCCCAGGAAAAAACAGCCATCTCATTCTGATCGTTACATTAGGAACAAAGCACCCTTAATTATATTAGAGGGTAGCAAATGGGCTTGGCTCTGCATGGGTGGGAACAGTCCTTTTGTTTCTATAGTGAAGGTTGTAAAGAAACATATGCAGCTGTCAGAGTTGGACACATTATTCTGGTCCTGCCTGGGTGAAACCATGCCCGCTGACACCACTAGGCATGGCCATGAAATGGCGGACCCCTGTAACCACACTCATTGCCACGCTAACCACAGCTCTTGCAATCCTGTAGCCCCCATGGAGGCAGGGTCCTAACCCCAGAGGTACGTGGCCGGCCTATAATTGTTCCCTCTGTTCAGCACTAGGAGAGCCCTATCTTAGCATTGCATCCAGTTTCAGACACCACACTTCAGTAAAGATGCAGACAAGCTGGAAGGGGTTCAGAGGAGGGTGGAAACAACCCTGTAAGGAGAGATGAAAGAGCTTGGCATGTTTAGACTGCAGAAGACTGTCAAAAGTCTGCCACACAGAAGAGGGCCAGGATCTATTCTCAATGTTGCCAGATTGCAGGACATGAAATAATGGGCTCAAGCTAAAGGAAGCCAGATTCCAGATCCAGCTGGACATGAGGAAAAAAATTCCTGATGGAGCAGCATGGCAATAGAACCAATTACTTGGGATGTCATGGACTCTACCACACTGGAGGCATTCAAGGTACAGTTGGACAGCCATCTATCAGGGATGCTTTAGCTTGGAATCCTGCATTGAACAGGGGTTGGACTTGATGATTTTACAGGCCCCTTCCAACTCTACTATTCTATGATTTATGATTCTATGTTCCTTGACATACTAATCTCCCCAGCCTTCAGAATGTATGGACTGCAGAGCTATGTGGCTGTTGGATAAATCTTCCTCTAGTGAGCATATTTAAATTAATTAATGCATTTTAAAAACCCAACCAAAAGTACACACCCCAGGATTCCATAAGAATGCATGCCAAATGACCTGTTCTTTGGTGGTGATGGATAGACCAACAGATTATCTTCTTTTTCTATTATAGATAATATAATAAATTAGAATGGGTTAAATTCACAAGTACAATCTAATTTATGTTTTTTGTTAGTTTAATTACCACTTCAAACAAGAGCCCATGTGGAAAGATGTTTGAATGAAGCAAAAAGAAAAGTATCTGGGTGTACAGAACCTACACATTTATGTAGAGACATGCAGATCCTTTCATTTTTCATTCTTTCTTTCAAGTTATGCTGAATGTATGTTGGAGGGGCCAGTGTGAGACAGCAGATGCAAGCCCATCCCCCATGAATATTACCTGTGCACAGGTATAACATCTACATAGTTCTGATTAGGAAAAAATAATCAGGTAAAACACAAGTATACAAGGGTTCTGGGCTACTAGTTTTAACTTTGTTAGTTAGAATGCCTTGTGAGAGAGGAATTCACGTATTCCATTTTTCATATATTACTGTTTTCTAGTGTCACTGTTACTAAATTTTAAATCTACTGTCCTATAAATTTTAAAGTATCCCATCCAACATCACAGTTTTTAGTGCAAATGTACTACAAGTTACAGTTAGTCTTGTTCTGGAATAGGAGACAAAAATCATCAGATCTGCACATTTGGATTCAAATCCTTGTTCTTGTGAAGACATGAGTACCTTGGGCAAAACAAATACAGTTTGACTGTTTTATTTCATTTGGTTGAAATAACAGGAATCAAAATGCTTAAAAATCCATTACAACCCAGCCTCTGAGAAATTAGCAGACAAATAAAGAACATATATAAGAATCAAAGAAACAATAGAAACATAAAAGAAATTTCATTTTAATGAAAGAATTGCTTTGTGTTTTGCCTCTATAATTTCTGAGAATTGTACTATACTTCAGGAGTTAGTAACTGAAAAAAATGAATTGCAAATCTATGGAGGCAAATAAAATAACGTTCTTCTCATTATGCATCCAACAATGTAGATCTCTCTTGCACGAAGTCCCACTGGACTAAAAGATGGAGACATAAATTTATTAGGAGAAAGAAATGAAGGTTCAACAATTAATAGTGCAATCTGAAACATGTCTACTCAGAAGTAACTCCCATTGTGTCCAGTGGGGTGACCACACATGACCACTTGAAGAATGACAGTAACAGACGAGCAACTTGCCTTCCCCAGTTATTGCAGACATGTGCTGCTCTCAGATCTCTTCACTTGCTCAAGATTCTCTACAGGAATTTTTTAGAGGAATACATGTATTATGCATTAATTCCTTTTGTTATGTTGAAATATTTTAAGGTATTTGGTGTTAGGAAACAATCTATCTTAAAATATTCACTTTATCAAGGAGAGAGGAATACCAAGTAATTGGTTTGCATACCTCAGGAAAGGATAGATTGCATGGCCCCTTTTCAACATTCATTTCTGATTCAGGAAATCATTCTGAAATTTTACTGTATTTGTTTCACATATAAAATACTCACTATGTATGCACATTCTCATAAAAAACAGTTTGTGGGTTCTTGTGCCACCTAGTTTAACTTTTTAAAGATATAAACTGTTACATATTCATGAGCTGGAATGTTTTAATGAAATGAAGATGTATCCTTATTTTAATCAGAGAGCCAATTAAGGCTCAACAGGAGCTTTAGGAGTAGAAGGTTGGAAACATAATGGCCTAAATGGGTAGTTCCTGTAACTCTCATAATAAAATAGCATGCTCAGTCAAAAAAGGAAAATTCAGAACACACATCCATCAAGGGAGCTCAGCAAATCAATATTATGCCTAAATATATGGTATCACCCTGATAGGGTCAAGAGATCCAAAACACTGTTTAGAACCAAAGTGTACACATTATTGAAAAATAAAGGGCAGCAGAATTTTTAGGAAGACTGGAGAAACACCCTGTGGAAACATACTCTAATTGTATTTTTTGTATACCTGCATGTGTTCCCCCCACCCCTTGCATGATAAATAGCCTTACTGAGCACATTTTAAAGCTATACATAAAGCATGTGCTCTACCCACAGAGTTAATGTATTAATCCAAAGGTACTATTATGGTCAATGTCAGGTTTCATGTACTTCTTGCCTGCCTACTGTTTCCATGTCATGATGGACTTCACCATGTAAAGTTACATGGTAACACAGGTTATGACTGCATTACATTTGGCCTGAACCATTTCAAGGACATTCATGCCTCACCTCTAGTTACAAAACTAGTTACTCTAGTTACTGAAAATCTTCAAAAATGGAAGTACAGACTGCAAGCACCACAGATGCATTCATGAGGAAACTCACATTTATTATCTAATTAATAGGGTATCTTATCTAGAATGAACAAACAAGCAAAAGAATGAATGACCAAGAAGGGTGACATCAGAGTACCTAAGCCCTATGGACAACTGTTTCTTTCCTGTGTTTGATATATTGCTCTCAACAGCATATTGCATAAATGCAATTGCCACACTGTGAGCACTAATCAAGCATCAGAATAGCAGCAGTAGGGCAGTTACATGTGCCTGAATGGCCACTTTTAAGAACAAAAGCTGAACTCCCAATGCAAAAATGGTAAGAGATTAAGGTCCAAGCCTTATTGACAAATTAAAATTTAAGAAGTCACCAGGGCCAAATGGCATTATTAAGAGTTCTTAAAGAATTGAACTTCCACAGAAATATGTATCTGTCAGACAACAGCAAAGCATGGATGTTCCACTAACATTTGTAATATCTTCTCTTCCTTTCTCTGAATTTTCTTTATCTCTTTGGAGGTTATGTGCTTCCCATTAGCACATATACATTACATGGTGAATGGATTCTGATTCTGAAACTGGATCCTAACTACCTTGAATGTTAGTACCTAAACTAAAATATTTTTAGTTTGTTTGGCCCTCTGGAAATGACAACACATAATAAATCCAAGTTGGCAGCATTTGCAGTAAACACATAATTCCGCTGCATTGGCTTTATATTGTATAAATGTACGTTTTCAAGCTACAAATGTAATCTAAGCTGCCTAACTGGCACTTATTCAACACTTCTTCAAGCAACTTTTTGGGCACGTTTGGACGCCTTCAAAATAACATCTGTAACACTATTAAAACAATTTGTGATATATGCTAAGACTTTAGCAGTACTTAGACCTCTACAGGAATACATGGTATTAACACATATAATTATCAACACCTTCATTTTAACTAAACCTGCAAACCTAGGATTCAACCAATAGGACTTCCTTAATCCCAAAACAAGCCATCGTAATCTATCCTTTGAACAACCCCCTGCCACTAACAGGACAAGTGACCCAGCACAATGTGACAGCCACATGAATAAATTAAGCCACAATGGGCTCTCATGTCATATAAACCAGGTCACTGTGTAATGACATCAGGTTACACAGTATGCCTAGGCTTATTGAGTTCTCCCAAAATGTTGCCTCTTTGGTACAAAAAGAAATGTGGTCACATGCAGACCTATAGACATTTAAGCTACTTGAAACAGGGCCACTAAAACTAATCTAGTTCTGCTATAGGGGTGGGCATTATTTGGCACTCCATAAGTAGTCCTATCACTCTTATCAAGCCTGACCAACACAGATAATCATTAGAGATGATGGAAGATATAGGTCAAAACATCTAGAAGGTCACAAGCTGACCTCTTCCTTTAGTAACATATTATTGCTTGTAGTAAATGGTTCTGGAGTAGCTTGCACATCTCCATTCAGATCTGGTGCATTCATCATGTACACTAGAGATTGGAGGAACATTGTGTGACATCCCATCCTCATAACAAGCAACACATGAAGATCACCTTTGGTGTGAATGTCTTTAGAACTGAGATATTGGAAGATGAAGCTTTTCTGATACAGTTATAGAAATTCTCCAAATGATAGCAAAATAGTCAGATCACTCACTTTACAAAATCTTTGTTAAACTGCAGTACTTAAAAGTTCTTTTTTAAAAGTTCTTTGAAGTTTTTGAATTTTGCCTCTAGCCACCTTTTGATTTCTCTTTAATCCCATAGCACAGTTAATCAAGTTCTCTGTAGTTTAAAATATTACTAATGTCTTTTTGAGGATTTGAATTTTATTCCTGATTATGTGATGAAGATAAATCATCAAATATTCATCATATATTAATAATCATAGCTTACATTCCCCTTTTGCTTCAAGATGTCTATAACCATTTTGAAGTATCTTAGAAGGAATTAATGGTCTAGAAATAAGATTTAATGGGTGACAAGAGAATATACTGTGTTCCCTTTTACTAGATAAGAGGACTGGGCAGTCCCATCCTTTGCAATATTAATGGGCCTTCTGTGCCCAATAGTAGTTGCCCTTCATAGTTGAACATTAGCAGCCTTTGAAGACTTAATGATATAAAATATATTTTAGACATTTTATGCATGTTTTTGCAAAAATGTGGTTGGAAATTAAGGACTTTTCTGTTGGCTAGTTTTGCTGGTGCATTGACAGCTGAATCCCACCTAGGTGTATTAAACCCACTGAAATCAATAGATTTAGATAGCCCTGGTACTATGTAATATCAGTCTGTTAGACGAATACAATAAAGTTTATTTTGATGTCCTCCAGAAAGGCCAGGTGTGGTCTGTAATACTTGCTTTCTCAGTGGAGAATCTGTTCTGAAATCTATTTTTTGTCTTTCTGCTTTCTGACCACAGTGAAGTATCACCTGGGTGTATTTTCAGTATTTTCACTTAAGAAATGAGAACTCCATACAGATCTTGCATTAATAAGGTAATGTTGCATTCTTGCTAGTTCCAACTTCTCTCACTAGTTCTTATGTACGAGTATCTGTTCCATTTGTCAATCAGGCTACAGTGCTTACATTTCAGACCATTAGATTGTTCAATCATCAATCCTGATTCATGCTGACTTACAAAAATGTGTCTGGAGCCACACAGAAGGGAAAAAACAATCAGAAGGGGAAAAGCCAAAATGAAAAGTTTAAGTATTCCTACCTTCTGTTTCTTTGCTCTAATCTCTCTTCTCCCCTCACTGTGAAGTTGCTGGCTATCCAGCTTTCCTATGCTTGTGTAGACCATTTGGTTAGACCCCAGAGATTATGATTCAATCAATTTGTCCCAAAATGAGAATTCAGAGGTGGGGGGGAGGATCAATGCTCATTTTGCTTTAAATCATCAAATCCCAAATTTCTCTCTCATTTTACAAATAACATACTTAACCATTAACTCTAATTAGAAACAGGATCAATAAAAATTAATGAATGGCTTTTATCACACTCACAATGAGTTATACATCAATCATGCATTAATTTTCTTTTTTCCTCTCACAAAAATACCGCTGTCTTACCAAACTGTCAGCTGAACTTCCCTGCAGGGGCTGTCAAATCATGGTGGGCACCCATGAACACTCAGCTCACCATGTCCCATCCCCTGCCATATCCAGGCAGCAGCAGGTGTTTGGGAGTTAGACAACCCTCAAATAAGATATTACTTGCTTGCATCTCATACCCATTTTAGGATTCACAATGACGTTTCAGTCAATACACATCTGATGCCTATTTTAGCTTGTGTGTCAAATGACAAACTGATTACAGGGTTCTCTTACTCAGTATTTATGATAGTTTGGGTAAGTCATTGTGCTGCCAGTCTTCTCTGAACAATGGTATTATGTTTTTGAATGCTGACTTTAAAGGCCTAGTTTGCCTGACACAAAAGTCCAACATTGCTTCATGTATCTTGGAGGGATTATGTGAGACTTGTCTAACTCTCAAAGCACTCCTGCCACCTAGGTTCTTAAAACACAAGCCACAGTAAGCTGAGTGCCCATGGAAGCCATGCAAAAATGGCACCCAGTATGAAGCCACAGATCCTGTGGTAAATTAAACTGCAGTAGGTTGCTGTGACCTGTGACCATGCCCAAAATGACACTGGTTGAAATGGCCACATTTAGGCAGCACCCTCCATATTCAAGCCTTAGACCACTAGATGGAGAATCTAAAGGACTGGGAGGTGGTGAGCAAGTAACTAAAAATCCTCTGCTTCCCTTCTTTCTCTCACAATGAATTAACAGTTGCAGGAGGAAATTGCACTCAAAGGAAGTTTCTTCTCGTCCTAACCTCTCCTACCAGCATCATATTTGTATCTTTCTTTCCAAATTTTCTCCTCTCCCTGGTAGGCAAGGAAGAAAAATATGACATCTAGATTTCATTACACAACTTATATGTAGCAGTAATTTTTCATTCATTCAAATGTGTGTAGCCTGCCTTCAAATAGTATTTTCCAAGGCAGCTTATACCAAATGCAAAAATAAAACAATTAGCCATATGAAAAACAGAAATACATAAAATAACAACATTAAAAGCAAAGGATAAAAAGCAGCATCAGATCAGTCAATTCAGGGATAAAATGTTTGTTAAGAGAAAATAAAGAGAGAACCCCTTGGTGCTGAAAAGACAACAACGTAAGTGCCAGGTAAGCCTCCCTGGGAAGAGCTCCATAAGCTGCATTCCACCACCAAGAAGGTCTTCTCCCTGGTCATTACCTGGCACATCTCAGTTGGAGGCGGCATCTAGAGAAGAGCATTCAAAGATGACCCTCAATGAACTGAGAGACCAATATGCAGCAAGGCAATCCAATTAGCTAGACTCTCAGTTAAATGCTAACAGGTATGCAACCTAAGGAGGAAAGCCTTTTAAAACAATGAATTTCTATAAGCCATTTGAGTAATATTCCAGTATGTTTTTGGAATTCCCACTTAAGCAAGGAGGAGCACTTAATTCTTTTCCAACATAAAATCTAGTGTGCACACTTCTTCCGTTAGCTCTCAGAGATTCATTCCATGAATCAATCAAACCACAATACTTAGATTTTAGATGATTTTTGTAAGCATGATAGATTAATGGGCACATATGGATACACACTGTGGCAACTGAGTAGCACTGGCACCCAAGAGAATGGAAGGAAGGAAGAGCAACATATGATTCGACATAAATTATCTTCAACCTCAGTCCCACACATGTACTGGGAGTAAGTGCCTTACTCCCAGGTAAACTTGCATAGGATTGTACTATTAGACAAGTCACTTAACAAATATGAATACGATCGTTTCATTATATGTTTTATATTTCTGCGCTCCCCAATAGTCCCAGCTGTGAGCTTTACAAAAATGCAACCATGAGGAGCAGGCATGTCCAAAAAGAGAGACAGACAGAGAGAATAGGAAAGCAAGTGACTGCAGAGCTGCCTTTGTCGCGCTTTTCTTCTGGGTGGTGCAGCACAAACCCCCAGCACTGCCCAGAAGAGTGATCCCAGCAGCTATTCTAGCCAGAGAGAGTGCCCAGACAAGTGAGTAGAGGTGACAGCAGCTTTTGCAACAACACCTGCTACTCTTTCACTAGCTTGGGCATCCCAGGAATAACAGTACTCTGCTTGCTCTCTTTCTTCTGTCATTTTTTCCTTCCTTCTTTTTCCTAGGTGACCTAGAGGATAAGTCTGCTTTGGAGGCTGGGGAGGGATCAGGGATGTCACCAGTGCATGCTGCCCCGGCCGGGCACCATGAACCAGCCTGTTTCCTCAGGCAGTAAGAAGCCTCCTATCAAACAAAAATGAAGTATCCACTTCTTTCCTGGTGGCCCACATCCCCTGAAGGAGGATTCTTCTCTGAACGCTAGTTCATCCTCTCTAGCACATTGCCTCCATTACCTTATGGCTGTCCCAGTTCCCCCTGCTCAGCATCTGGGCTGGGGTCATGCTGCAGCGCCTCTACAGACTCTGCCTGGCTTGGCCCCAGGGAATGGGCAGAGTTGGTGCGGATGGCAGAGGCCTCTGGGTCGCCCTCCGCAGCGGAGGAGGGCGCTCCCTTCTTGTTGGCCTGCGATCCCCTGCAGGAGCACTTCGTGAAGCAGACCTGGAAGATCTCCAGCATGGCCATGACTAGGATCACCAGCATCACCACGGCCACCGTGATCAGGATGAAGACATAGTTGGAAGAGTCGTGGTAAGCAGAAGACGACTCCGTTCCGTTGCCCACCCCAGGAGGAACGAGCTCCAGGGAATAGTTCCCAGCTGGCCGGCCAGTGCTGTTGGAAGTGAAAGCTCTGCTAGTAGTGGGGAGACGTAAGGGAGGCCCGGCAGTGCCCGCTCCAGCTCCCGCCGCCGGCACGACGCAGGACGTGGCATTTGCCCCCAAGCGGGAACCCCGAGCGCACAGGCAAAGGAAGCCCCCTCGGGCGTCGAAGCAGTTGGAGGGCTCCGCGCAGGCTCCCTTGCTGGGGTCCCAATAGCCGCTGGGGCAGGAGCAGAGGCCGTGCTCCGAGCCCTCCCACTGGTAGCCGCTGGGTGAGAGGCGGCAGGTGAAGCGCGCCTCTCGCCCTGGGCACTTCAGCGTCACCACCGTGCCTGGGGGGCTGAACTCCAGGGCCGCGCTTTGTACTCGGGAGGGCAGCGTGTAGCGAAGGCTCGGAGACGGCGGGAGCCGCGGGCAGCTGGCCCCGTCGCTGTACTTGCAGATGTAACCCGGGCTTGTCTTGGTGCACACGCGCTCCTTCAGGCCCCAGGGCTCCAGGCCCGGCCGTCCCAAGGTCACCTGCAGCCCGGCGCATTTCTGCACGGTGCACGACTTGCTCGGCTCCCTCACCCAGTAGGGCGCGTGCGTCGTCTCGTTGGCCGCGCCCGCCTGAATTCCGGGTGAGGCCCAGGAGAAGCCCCGGAGCGGCAAGTCTTCCAGGGTGCACTGCTGGGCCTTGCGAACCAGGCCGAGCCAGAACAAGGAGGTGCCCGACCCGTTGGAGACCCCGGTCAGCAGAGCAAGGAGGGCTTGGATTTCGGCTTCGCCGCTGGCTGTGCTCAGGCCTCCCCCGAGCTGTGCGCAGGCGTCCTGGGCCTGGTGGAAGTTCAGGCTGCCCAGGTGGGCGCTGTAGCAGGGCCCAGAACCGCGGCACCAAGTGCGCTCGCTCTCCGCAGACCCCCGCGGCACGAAGGATGGTTGCAGCAGGACGAGAGACAGAAAAACGACTCCCCTCATCGTGATTTCTAACTCCTCAATGCGGGGGGCGGATCCGAGCATTCGCCGGCCTGCCTGGATTAAAGGAAAGCGTCGTCGAGGCAACTCCTTTTCCTCGCGGTTCTCAGCAATATCTTTACTTCCACAGCCTTCCCTTTGAGTTGCTGACAGGAAATGTGTCAGGGGTTAGGCCTTGACCTCGACATCCTTGATTTGTTGAAGTGCCTGTGCCAAAGGCGTATTTCCAAAACAGGGAAACATCTGATAAACTAAGCTCCTGAGATGGCAGGTCTTATTTTCTTGCCTCCATTTCACAGCGGATGATTGGAGCAATGCCCACATAAACCACGCATTACTTGGAATTCTTTCCTTCAACCATATTAGTAAATGCCATTTAAATGTCTAAACTATTGAATTACTTGGGCTTCGTAGCAGAGATTTCAACATACTTAAACTGTCAACAAAGTAATTGTTTAATGAAAATTAGTGGCAATTGATAGACTTATAATTAGCTTAACTTAACCTTCACCACTCTGTTGGCCTCCAGCCCTGTTGGATTATAGTTCAAATCCTTTCCAGCCAGCATAATCATACTGGCTTGGAATTATTTGGAGGGGGGGGTCTGGGCCAACCACTGGACAGGGGCTTGGTTAACACCTTTCAATCACTCAGACATTTTCTTGCTTTCAAAACCTAAAGCAGGGATGAATGGTATGTCTATACCTTGGGGACATTCTGTTTTCTGAATTCTACTGATTGATGGTCAGACTTTATAATATTTATTTTTATTTAATTTTAAAATATTCTTGGCTGCCTTTAAGGATACAACCCTCTCAAGATGGTATATGAGATATATAGAAATTTTTAAAAAATCAGTGAATTGCAATAAATACATATTCATTAAAAGTTAATAAAAACAGGCTACCAATAAAAATAGAAGCTATCAAACAACAATACTTCCTAGAAGATGCACCCAAGAGCACCCTTACAGTGACATCTTGTGTCTGTGTGTTTTCCCAAAGTGCACACTAAAAATAATAAGACTGGAGCTCTTTGGCCCAAGAACTGGTGATTAGAAGCTACCAGTCTGACTCTCTCCCTTACCAAGTTTAAGTATTGCCAGCTATTAAATATGCACTGTTCCTCTGGTCTCCGGGACAAAATCCTGTGTGTAGTTTGCCCCAAGTCTTACTTTCTCCTTGGCTTCTCAACTTGACTGTCATGTCCAGGCAATGCCCCTGACAATAGCCATTCCTTCTCTTGATAAGCCTTGCTAGAACTCCTCTTCCCTTGCCCTCTTAGCATGTGATTCCCGTGCTTAAGTACTGTGAATTTTTTACATTTTACCTAAAACTGTGACTTTTTGCCACAGTTACTTTTCCCTTCTGTTTCTTTACTCAAGCTTCTTTCTACCTCTGTGCCTTCCTTCAGAATTGTATTATTTGCTCAATACTCTATTTCCTTTGTCCTGGAAACCCCGTGTCATAGCATTTTTTATATATATACCTGGAACCTCGTCTCAGTCTTCAGGTCAGCTTCTATGTGAGGTTTTAATCCTGTCCAAATGGACAATTGTGTATGCCCTAAAAGAATGCATACCTTTTATTCATGAGCAGCTGTACATTCTGAACTATCACACCAGCTATCCAGTCAGTAACAGACTTTTCACATCCACAAGAGTAATGAAATATGGATTTAGGTGAATACAAATTGATTCTCATTGCTGCTTTCGTCCACAAGTGAAGCTAAAAACAATTTTTAAAGTATAGCATTATTAAAATCAGGAGAAAGCCATAGCTCAGTGGTAGAGTACCTGCTTTACATGCAGAAGATGGCACATTTAATGCTTACGATCTCCAATAGGACTGGGAAAGATGTCAGAAACCTTGGAGTTATAGTCAAGTCAGGGAAGAACAGTACTGAGCTAAGTAGACAAATGATCTGACTCAGTATCAGTCAGTCTCTTATGTTCTTAAGTTATCCCTCGTTTCTCTAATTCTCAATTATACATACAACCCAAGCATGGTATATACTACAAAAAAGTACAGGAAGGCCCAAATTCAGCATTATCTCCAAATACTACACCTATGCCTCATTTTCACTCATAGCACCTACCAGTGAATTCTGGCTCTCCCCCTTTTCATGATCAACACAATCACCAATGATCAGTGGAACATCTACCTTTAGAATAATTCTAATGCATTTATTTTCAGCATTTTAAAGGCTGTCAGAGTGGCTTATGAAAATTAATAAGATGGTTTCTGTGCTCAGGCTTACAGTAGAAAAGTTTCCTTCCTAGGGGGAAAAAGACTTAATGCAGCTTGTTCTTGTTTCAGAAAAAAAATGACAAAGGGGCATGGTGGAAATTTATGATATTAAAATATACGAATATTTAATGCAAACAGGTATTCTCTTTCTCAAATCATGAGAACTAGGGTGATAATTCATTCTCAAGCAATTATATCTAAAACAAGAGAGAGTTCTCTGACATCTTAAAACCTAGCGTCCATGAAAACTATAACATTTTTTTTTTATTTTTTGAGTGCTGCAAGAAACTTAATTGTTTGTCCTGCAACAGTCTAAATCAACTGCTGTTAGCAAATTTCACATACCAGCTTTTAAACACCCAGAAATGCTTCTTAAGAAAGGTGACTTGAAGACAGTTTCTCAGAGACCACACATACTCCATGGGCAGTGCAGTAGTGATTTTTTAGATGAATTAAAAATAAATTACTACGAGGGATTAATTCTCAGTAATTTATTATCCTCTTTCCCCCTTTGGCATTTATAAGAAGAAAAGGGAAAAAAGTTTATGGGAGCTCTATTCATTTGTTATATCTCTGCTTTTAGATAATTATCACAGCCATGATGCTTGGCTAAAACAAAGCAGAATTTATCCATCTTCCACTGCTCTGCTCAGGCCAAAAGTGAAACAGTATTTTAATCTGCGGTACCAGTATAGGCTCTGAATAAGTTAATGTCAGCATAATTCATTACCATGACCTCTTTGAAGTTAGTGACAAAATTCCCATTGATCTTCGTGCGGACAGGATTTTATGAGTAGCTGAAATCTGAAGCTAAGGACCAATCCAGCTTTGAGAACTTGAAAATTATAACTTGGTCCTTGTAGTCAGTAATATTTAATAAGATCAGTGCAGTGGCTATCAAACCAAACAGCTTGCATAAATAAGTTTTTGGATAAACTATGCATATGTAATTTCTTTGCATATCAAACAGATTCATTTATTAAGCAGCCTTCCACAGCCTGGTGCCAGCATGGCTAGTAGTCCAGAATGATAGGAGTGTCATTAAAAATATTTGTAGGGCACCAGGGAAAGGCTGCTGTAAAATGTTCATTTTCCCAACAGGATCTATTCAGTTGTGATTTCTGAGGCAACCTTTTCATGCCACCTCTCAATCATTTCTGGCTGTTTTGCAAGCTCATGTGCAAGCCATGTAAGTGATAGCTGCCATTTGTTCACAACTTTATAGTATGCTCTCTCTGTGTATAGAAGTTATGCCCCATTTGTTGTTCCTTAAACTACCAACTCAAATGGCCTGCACTGGATAGTGACTCCATAAGTTAACCATGTATTATGTGAAGAAGACTCTGGTCTGCACCAATCTACTGCCAAACAGTTTCATTCAGTTATTTTAAACTATTAATAGGAGGAAGAGTATATCACTCTTCCCTTACAGCTTGTAATTTCATAAACCGTCATCATATTCTCCCCTGGTGTATTTTTCTTTCTTAATGAAAAATGCAATCACTTCTTTGTAGGTAAATTGTGCCACAACCTTGATGACTACAACATTTGTGCATGCAGCCCAGATATCTTTGCCCAGATCACATTCTGCTGCTAACATAAAACATTTTCTTAGCACTCGGTCTACAGTATTTTCTCACTAACCACATGTGGTTCTTCCCCAGGGAGCATGTACACTACAACTGCCAATTAGAATGTGATTGCTTTCATGGTGTGGACCCCTTTTAGGTAGTGGCTATGATATCACTAGTGACAAAGTGGCAGCACTCTTCCCCATGTGCCAGAAATATGTTTATTTTATTTCCATTTTATTTGTTTCTTCATTCCTATTTCAGTGACTGAAGACCTCCCTGCTGTATCATTCTAGTGCAGGAATACTCAAGTCCTGTAAAAAGAAAGACAAGGGAAGGGGGAAAAAAAACTACATTTGAGCCCTTCAAAAAACATCTAATTTTTTCAAGGAATATACATTCTCTCTCTTGAGCTCTGAAGCACAAAAGTCCTGTAAATTGTTTAATATGCACGCAGAGATTATGTATTTAATATACTGCTGCTACATTGTTGATTGGGACTATAGTTACAGTAGCATTACCAGGAAAGTCTAGTTTTTCTTAGCATGGGCATAAGCTACATTTCATATATCAATGGCACAAAGTTGAGGAATAGCACATTGCGCTTTCCAATAGCTCCACATACAAGTATAAATCAAGCTCTCAGGGGAATCTTCAGTCCATTTGTGATGAGGCAGTGTTTCCTAGGGAAATACATGAGAATAGCAGGAAGCCTTGGGGCTAACCATAAATAAGTGACTTCAGTTCTTGGCATTTTGCTTAGACTGACCCTCAGCCAAGCATCCCAAGGGAGAAGGTAGCAGGTGCTTGCCTTAAAGAACAGCTAATGTAAAATTTTAAAGTAAGGGGATGGGCATCCCATCTTTGGGAAATCATAACTGATTATGATGATGGGCATTCCATAACTGAGAAGGGCAGGTGATCAGTGTGATGTCCAGTGCAGAAATAAGCACCCCATTCTTAGTGTGAGCTTGAAGCTTTGCAGTGAAACCTATTTTATCTGTCCTCTGTCCTTTGTTATTTTCAAACCCAAACTTTGTATTCTACCTGCCCTTTATTCTCCATTGTTATTTACTATGTTTATTTGTTAAGTGTTTCAGTTTATATCTTGCCTTTGTTTTGCGGAACTTAAAGCATTGCAATTGCATAAGCTGTGTGACCAGAACCTGACCAGCTTAGCTTA